GATATTATGTGTAATTTATGCAATAAGCCTGACTTAAAAGATAACTGAAAATAAAAGCAAATCTTAAAAAAAATCTGTATATAATACGAGTAATTATAATCATTACGGACTTTCAATAATTCAATATATTAACAGATAATGGACGTGTGGTTAAAACATAAATAAATCTGACAATCCTGATTGAGTTTTATTTGTGACAATGGTTGTGTAATTGATTTTAATATAATTAATATAACGTATCTGCTGCCATCGCGTTTTTTACAGTAGTACTTACGAGTAAAGGCAAGTAATTGCGAGTTCGATTTAAAATAAATGTTAAATGATAACAGGTTCTTGTAATATTATTTATTATTGCATTGTTTCTTTTGCGTTATCATAAATATAAGATTTTGTAATAGATTCATAAAAAAATCAAAATCGATTTCAATTTGTTTTTTTTTTTAATTTTACTTGTCATAGTGATGTCAGAATTTTATTTATAAGTTCTATAATTATAGTACCTATAAATATGTATAATTAGTTATACCTACGAGTATGTGTATGTAATATGTTAGCGTTTGTGAAACATTAACTATTGATCGCGTCTAGATCTGCTGTATTCATTCGTAATTACTTAACAAGCGTGTAAATTAATAATGGTAGTATAACTTATGGTATATGCACGTAACGTATAAAAAGTATTGTTATCTTTCATTTAAAATGTCAAATTCGAGTAAATCTAAGTAATCTTGTACCATCCTCAATCAGTAGGCTATAAAATGCAAGAAAAAATAAAGAAAATATACAAATCTGACTGGTTCTAGAGATAAGCGCGTTCAAACATGCAAACCTATAATAATACTCGTACTACCCATATGGATAGTTGCGCTTATTACAAATCTACATAATATTAATTTCCACACAGTTTCGGACTTAGAAAAAACATAAACACACTTAAACCCGTTCTTATTCAAGTATTTCTCAAGCAAGAATCAAATGCGGCCTCTGGTATAACAGACCAGGTGGAGAAATAACAAACACATACCAATACACTTACAAACTTTTGCATTTATAATAGCTTTAAATGGTTAAAAAGGTGTAAATATAAATCCGTACAATGAGCTGAATCACGAGCTTCATTACTGGGTGCCAATCACATCATCTCGCGTGAAATCATAACTCAGCGAGACGCGTACCCTCGTTCTAAATCTTTGGGGAAGCTTCATCTATTGCGTTTAATTATAGCTCGACCCCAAGCGTTCTACCTGAAGATCGTTAATCTTTCTTAAAGATATATTCCCTGCAACAGCCTCCGTTGTGCGCCCTTAGCGCTAATCGCTGCGTGTCGCACGTCGCGTTCAACCTATAAGTTTATAGTAACACACTACATCGATCGCTTTGCAGTTATTTAAAACTTTGATATTTTAGATATTTTTATAATAATTAGTAAAAGATAAGTTGATTGTAATTTATTTTGTAGTTTTAATATAAGTAATATTCACAAGTAAGCTCTAATAGTAATTAAAGTAAAGTGGATGTGTAATTGCAAAATGTCTGTAAATATTTGTTTAGGTTGTAGGTTGAATTTAGCTTGTGAACAATAAAATATTTTATAGACTCTTCTGAATTTATCGTTGCTAGAAAGCTTGACAGTTTAGATATTGCACTGGATGTGTATCTTTAATCTTTGCCAACTTTGGCTTACTTCGTTACTATATTGGAGCCTTTGAACTCTCCCCTTCAGAATTAAGACTTGACTTTACGTATCACGATCCGACATTTATGTTTATTGATAAGCAGCATCAGAAAATCTCAATAAGCTCCATTAACCAATCTTCTGTTAAGATTAGTTGATAAAGTTTATGGTGTTCTGACTTAAAGCATTAATCTAATATGCCCAGCTTGCCATATTTGGATAATTCGAATATTTCTACTGAAATAAACGTAGTATTAAATGCATATAGCATTTTTTATAATATAAATAAACAAACTGCTACTTGGCGTGATATGAAAGTTGTGTTTTATATATGAAAGAATTATGATAACTCATAAAATATTGCAGTTAAATTACAAATATTCATAGTTTTTCAGTGCACCGTATGTTTAGAGTTGAGTCTTTGATACAAGTTGGACAAGAGCTATACACACAGTCTGGCCACCAAGTACTGAGCAAATACACCGACGCCCGTTCGCTTTTCAATTAACTTCAGTAACTGTTTGTGTTCAGGTATCATACCTGGGCCTTTGATGTCCTTTCATATTTCCGCAACCGTTCATATTTAGTAGATAGAATAATATTTGGAGAAAATTTTCAAATATTATTTTGTATAATAAATATAAATAATAATGTTGAGACATTAACAGACAGCACCATCTAGTTCCATGGTAAGCTACTAAGCTTGTATTATGGATACCAGATAGTTGATACACTATACAAATATAACTTTAAATATATACATATTATAAATTAATGAATATAAACTCCTATGAATGAATGGCGTTTTCAAGTATGGTGTAATTTATATATGGAATTTATTTCTATTATTTCAATATAAAAAGTTGTCCAAACCATGTAAAAGCTGTACTCGCTCACATCACTAGCCTACTATTCAATATGACCCAAAGTTTTTAAAGGACATCGAAGAACAGCATGCAGATTCATTATATTCTCTGCATTCCTTAAAGAACAATAAAAAAGAGATGAGATGTAAGTAAACAACACTTTTATTGATCTTTCAAAAGACTTATAATATTATCCTCTACACATCGGAATCAAGTAAAAGTGAATTTGAGAACAATGAATGAATACGTTTCGAGAAAGATTTATGCACTCGAGGTGTCTAAAGCCAAAGACAATGGAGGACTTGACAAAGTTATTTAAATTAGGGGACAATTTTGTTAGGCCATAACCTTTAAGTGGTAAAAGCAACGAGGTCCCGCTAAATGAGGTTTTAAGCCGACGTCCTCATGAAAGGGGTTTCACAAAGCAGATTTCAGGCAGACATCCTGACTTTCGACGCACAATGCTCTGATACAGCGCAACCGTGAACAATACATATATTATTATATTGTTTTATGACTGTGCTGGTTCTTGACGTTTTGAATTAACTGAATAAACTTTTAAGTCTATTGTTCAATTATTAATTTTGCAACCATTAGCAAAGTAAAATGCTGTATATTTTAAAATCTTAAAATCCAGGCTAGTTTATTGATATTAAATTATACAAAATTGTAAATACGTTTCAGCTGTTAAAGCAGCTTTATAGGAATTTAGTATTGCACGAAGTGGAATTCGTTTTGTGATGAAATATGAACTATTGTTATTGTTTCAAGAAGTAGACGATTTTATGAGTTGTTTAAATTGAGTACACTTTTATGATCTCGAGTTCTCAAGCTTGGATTGTTTATAGTCGACAATGCTATACGTTAAAACTTTATGTGTGCATTCTACATACAGTAACTTTACTGACTATAAATAAAATCTTATGTTTCAGTCTAAAATATGTTTTAACATTTTGACACAGTTTAAGTTAAAATTACGGTCAGATTGAAATTTCATTCTTTTATTATACAATATTTATTTGAATGACACCTAATTCTGCATTTGCATTAAATTATTAATTTCATTTTAATGTTACTTTAAGAATTTTGGTTCTATAATAAATAAGTTGAGTTAATAATATTGTAAATGAAGTCACTGATTCTAAATCTTCGTCAATTGCTTAGACTGAGCACTTGTTGTTATCTATACATATAATAAAATTTTAACTGAGTGATACCTGTACATATATAAAATAATAAGTGTTATACATATATAAGAATAAAAAACGCGTATTTCACGTCAATATATGTAAGTATATTGTATAAGTATATATATCTAAATGTTAAAAATGCTTTGTCGGAAACATCAGTTAGTATGAAAAATGTCTGTCACGTTAACGAGGGAATTATCAAAAAATATACATTAATTCATATTAAGTAAATAATAACTGTTTCTTTATATATTTCTATTGCTTTAGTTTTAATAAGTAAATATGGCTGGTGTTAGTTTCATATTATCTTTGTTTTATGAGAACTGTTGCAAAGATAGCAATTGTCAACTACTGTATAAACACACCTACTCTTATCAATAAGATAAAATATCATAGTATCTATTGCTTCTTGTAGAAAGGGATAATATTTCGTTTTTTTGGATTATTTTTCAAATATCTACGAGCTTAAATAAAGATATAATATCCACTTTTACGTGAATAATGTCTATGTACAAAAGACAATAGAATATTTTTTCCTAGAAGTAAGGTATTTTTACCATGGATGGAGGGATGTACGAGGTTGAAGACGTTTATATTTCAAATAAAGAATTAAAAAAAAACACATAAACACTGTGTTTGTCATGGTGACCCTGAACAAATTCTGTTTCATTATGACAGTTAATAATCTTTTAAGGTTTTATAAATATTAATAGCAAATATCTATATAAAATTAAAAAAATTATGTACATATAGATAATATAACACAGAAACTCCTTCATTTTCCCCATTTCAAACAGTTGTATCAAAATACTGCTTTTATGATGCAACAATATGAAATCTGTACAGTACTGAATTATAAAAATCCCATAACTATAAAGCATATAAGTGATTTTTATATACGAGTATAATAACGTTCACTAAAAGAAATTCAGAAAACGTTGACGCCTTTAGTTCTACACTCAGATTAAGCTAATCCATGTCGCCAGGATGGAGCTAATTTATTGCGGCAGTTTTCGTTCTATCCTAGTCTAGGCTATCTCACAGGAATATATCCCGCTTTTCCAGCGAACTGGGAATTAAAGGCAGTTATAAATCGAGGTCAAAAGCTGAAAGTAAATTATTAAGACTACGTAAGCTAAGCTATGAGGAAAATAATGATATAACGATAGTGATAAAATGTATAACTTTTATATTTTCTTTTATGTTTTAGAAGAATGGTAGAGTTAGTGTCTTCAGTGTAGTGTTATCACGGTTGATTTCAGAATTTTAAGTAGAAATTATAAGATTGGTATATACACTGTGGTGTGATATATTACAACTGCCTCGGTAGTAGTGGTTAGCATATTCGGTTGCACATCCGGAGGCCCCAGGTTCGAATCCCGGGGCAAAATTAGTTATTGGCCCAGTAACAGCTCGTCGTGTTTCACTCCCGTGCCTCGGAGGGCACGTAAAGCCGTATGATCGCCGTCGTCTTATCGTCCCATAGAAGAGCAAAAGAAATTGAGAGTGCGCTGGTGACTGCGCGAACACTTTTGTACTATAATATCTCTTTAGCAGTTGGCTAGTTTCAGTGAGATTGGCCGCCGTGGCCGAATTCGATCGGCATGGCATTATCATCGTTATTATACGACGAAAGATAAAAATAATTCATTTTTCTAATATAATGGCTACTGCCTCGTTATCTTACTTAAATTTTATATTTTCTGACTAGAAAAAAAAATATTTTTAAGTTAAAACTAAATACCTACGTATAAAGATAATAGTGGTTTTTTTATTAAGACTTGTTTAGCATCGCTTCGAAGGGCAAAAGAATTAAAATTATAGACTGACGAGACTACGTCTTGATGTTATGGTAGATATCGAATAGAATATTATTGCTTTTAATTATAATTAATTTACATATAACGCCGCTATACATATATATAAATTATTTATATCTATATAATCTGCAATCTATTCAAATTGCAAATACGAATGAATTTTCCTTGAAATATGAAACTGGATAAAACAAGTTGTCCAGTAGTTTTCAAAGAAATGGTAGCAGTTTAGTATAATGCGATGCATTTAGTCATCGGTGCGTTATCTAACACAATTTACTGTGGGCTTCTCAGCTATTAATCAGAAGATACCCGCGGCAGATAGAGCAGTCCTATCTTTAGATTTGGTTGGAAGGTAATTTAAAAAAACCTAAACAAAAAAAGGTTATAAAAATAAACAAAAAAATACAGGTTTGAATTAGAAGATTTTTCACAAGACCTATATAAGGCACCTAACTAAATAAATAGGTATTTACTTGGAAAATTTAAATTCATGTTGCGATATGATTGCCTAATGTTCATATTTTTCTAGCAAGATTTAAAAAAAAATGGCCCATGGCCGATTTTTTTCATCCCTCTTTTGTGTTTTTTTTGCAATATTGACTGAATTTACCTTTTATAAATTCATCTCGTAAGGATATCTGTAGGCTCGTGGATTTTTCGTTCGTGGATTTATACTTCAGAAGTCGTTATCGTATTGTGAGGGCATCGCTACTATACTGTCAACTTGTTTACTAACAATAAATATGCTTTGTCAAACTTCTTCCAGCTCAAAAGATAAAACTTTATTCTTGCCAGGTTTCTCACTTTAGACCTTTATAGACTGACTTTACTCGGCTTGGGGATAGCTTAAAGTAAATCGATCCGTGTGTTAGTATAATATTAATAGGGGTAACTAGATTTAGAGTCGCGAACTTTGTCTTAATAAGTTATGCAGCACAAGCTTATAATAATATTGGATATACTTACGAGTATTTAGAAAATAGATACCCACTCAAGGATGTATTATATTATAAATTATAATCTACTAGCAGAAACCGCGGTTTCGCTCGCGCTATACAAACTTTCATCCCCTATTTTACCCCCTTATGGGATGAATTTCGAAAAACATTAAGACATCTATTTATTTAATTGTATTGAAGAGCATCGATACCAAGTTTCAAGTAATTCTGATGATAATATTTTTTTTTGGTTGTATTATAACGCGTTTTCATCAGATCTCCTGCGATAAAGTAGCCTATGTCACTCTCCAACCCTCCAACTATCTCCACAGAAAAAAACATACCAATCGGTCATTCTGTGTTGACGTGAAAGAAGGACAAACAAACACACTTTCACATTTATAATATTAACTATGAATATGGATTTAAAAAATCTGAAATTCTATTTTTTTATAAAGGCGATAATAAAGGCTCTTTTTTAAGAATTTTGAAACCTGAAGCGTTAGTAGTGACTCGTATTGAACTGAAAAATCTTTGAATGAAAATTTGTATTACCTACATGATATCTTATTGTTGAGATGTGATATTTCTGTGTGAATATTTGCGTTAATAAGTAAACAATACAGAATAAAATTATACTAATAAGAAAGAATTAATGAAAAAATATGTTATTAGTTACTTCTTATGTATCTAATAAGTATGTGTTTATTAAAGAAACAATGGCTAATGAAACTATCGGGTTTAGTGGATATAATAATAATAACTAGCATAAAGCTAAAGCCTCCTACCTGAGGACTATTTTTTTTTTAATTTCTATCTGTATAGATAGATATATGTATATATGTATAGCAAAATTCTAACTGAGTCGAATCTGTATTTAATATTTTTTGGAAAATGTTATTATAATAGTCATTATTATCGAATAGAATCCGAATCTATAGCTGTTACATTTTTTCTCATCAGGAGAAAACCATTGGACAGATCTTGATAAAATTTGGTATGATGATAGCTGGTTGTCAAATCAGGATACTATTTACTGCGGGAAAATATCTCATTTCTAAAAAATCTACACTAACCGTCAAAACACACCTATGGACGAATCCGAGCGGAGCGAGGGTGAGTCGCTAGTACTATATATTTACCTTTCAACTGCCTCGGTGGTGTAGTGGCTAGATGTACGGCTCCACACCCGGAGGTCCTGGGTTCGAGTCCCGGGTCGGGCCAAGTTTAGTTATTGAGTCTATCTGTATAGTAAGCCTCAGTAACAGCCCGGAGTTGGGAAGTTGGCGGTGTTTCACCCCCGTGCCTCGGAGAGCATGTAAAGCCGTCGGTCGCGCGCCTTAACTCTCACTGGTCGTGTCGAGCAGTCATCCCACTGGAGTATGAGAGTGACAGGAATAGAGAGTGCACGTTGTGTCTGCGCGTACACTTGTGCACTATAATATCTCCTGCGCAGTTGGCTAGTCTCAATAAGATTGGCCGCCGTAGCCGGCATCGGCTAGGAGAACATCAAATTGAGTTAATAATATTGTAAATGAAGCCACTGATCCTAAATCTTAGTCACTAAGCACGTTTTGTTTATGTAAACATATACCTAATAAAATTCTTACTGAGTGATACCTGTACATATATATAACATAATAAGCGTTATACATATATAAGAATAAAAAAACGCGTATTTCACGTCAATATATGTATATTGTATAAGTATATATATCTAAATGTTATAAATGCTTTGTCGGAAACATCAGTTAGTATGAAAAATGTCTGTCACGTTAACGAGAGAATTATCAAAAATATACATTAATTCATATTAAGTAAATAATAACTGTTTCTTTATATATTTCTATTGCTTTAGTTTTAATAAGTAAATATGGCTGGTGCCGTCAAAACACACCTATGGACGAATCCGAGCGGAGCGAGGGTGAGTCGCTAGTACTATATATTTACCTTTCAACTGCCTCGGTGGTGTAGTGGCTAGATGTACGGCTCCACACCCGGAAGTCCTGGGTTCGAGTCCCGGGTCGGGCCAAGTTTAGTTATTGAGTCTTTCTGTATAGTAAGCCTCAGTAACAGCCCGGAGTTGGGAAGTTGGCGGTGTTTCACCCCCGTGCCTCGGAGAGCACGTAAAATCCGTCGGTCCTGCGCCTTAATTCTCACTGGTCGTGTCGAGTGGTCGTCTCACCAGAGTATGAGAGTAACAGGAATAGAGAGTGCACTTGTTTCTGCGCATACACTTGTACACTAAATATCTCCTGCGCAGTTGGCTCGTCCCAATGAGATTGGCCGCCGTGGCCGGAATCGGTTAGGAGAACATCATATTTACTTAATTTTTTTATGAAAATTAATCATTTTTATTAGAAACTTATATTTAATACAATCAAATCTTTTGTGGCACTAATCTAAAAGGCTTTGTAGGTTTTTGAAGCATGTAGGGGCGTAATCCGTATAGCTTATTAAAGGAGTACTTTTTCGCAGATCTCTAGATAAGGGAAGGTGAGCGTCAATATATCAAAAGATTAGTCGTTTCCCGCTGCCGTGAGCAAAGGCGTTGAATGTAAATTGGTAGGGATAGTGAAAAATCATCGATAACTAATATCGATATTCAATTAAATAAATGATATTTTTAAAATACTTTTTAATATTTAGGTACTCCGTATGGAACGGTTTTCTATAATCTGTATAAAAAAAAATCTATTTTCCTCACGAAAACCGATTTTTTTGTTTTTTAGATCAATTCACATTTATTAATAGAATCGAGTAATTTCGAATATTTCGAAATAAATTATTTTTAGAATTTGAAAACTTAGTCGATATCGATACGGGTTTTCGATTAATCCGGGCATCTCTAAATTGCAAGGAACTCCATAAGTTAACAGCTATCCGCAAAGCCTATCATATATCAGGTCGGTGACATATTCGCCCGTCATGTACGCTTTTCATATAGAAGTGGGCCGATTCGTGTATTCATAGGCCTGTGTGGTAGCCCTGATGATTTATTAAGTTAATTTATTGCTAAAAGTAATGAAAATTGGGTATTTGATTGATTTATATTTTTACAACACGAGATTACGGCTTTTGAGTTTGTATAATTTTGATAAATAGGATTTATATGGAAAAAATGTAAATTTTTAAAATGGAAGACTACTAAGTAGACGATATATTGTATGGTAAATCTTACCGTGAATGGCCACCATAAATTGAATGTATGTAGGGGATGGTTCATCGTCAGGGCGTCGTGGTTGAATGTGAAAGTGATCCTGTAGCGCCCCATTAGGATAAGGAAGGTCCATGGGGTTTAGTGGGTAATACTAGCATTTCACATGTACTTATATGTACTTATGCATTTTCTAACGATAAAAAAATAGGACAGCTCGTAGAGATGTTTATGATACTGACTATATATGGTGATATGCCAAGCTTACGAATGTAGAATCTTACAAATTACAATTTAATCTTATAATATTAAATGAGCAATTCTTATCTATATGAATATTAATTTATTTCGTGTATCTCCGAAATGGCTCTAACGATTTGGATCAAACTTTTTAATTATATAAGGTTTAGCTTTTTAAGTTTTTCTAATTAGGCGTTTTTTTTGAAAAAAAGATATATTTTTTATATATTTTCCGAAAAACACGATTGTACAATAAAAAAAGCTCGAAATGAAGCTCGGTTGCCCGTTTACTATATATATATATATATATATATATATATATATATATATATATATATATGTTATATCTGTATTACTTGTATATTTTTAACGGATTCCAACATAAGATATTATTTATTCATAGCGACTAATTTATAACAAATTCATTATAATAAATATTTGAGTAAATTGTAATAC